CCTCTCTTCGTTCAAAAAGGGTTGGACAAATTTACTTGCAACATTTGCAATATTTATTAAGGTTTGTGAATACTGTTGCCATCTGTTTAAAATGTTAAACTCATTTTTGGCGTCTTAACGCCATGCGGGTTCACTAGTGTATATATTAATATGCTTACGAAATCTCATACAATGAATTTTAAAATTATTTAACAGAATGTATATTACTCCACCAAACAATATAAGTGACCTAGACGATCAGCAGGTGCTGATGGACATAAAAACTTCCCAAGAAAAATGAAGAATTGTGTAAAAAAAGTGAGGTGGTCGAGTTTCGACAACGGAGCGCTACTAGTTGGTTAATATTTTTAATAGATTACACTGCTCACTATCGACTTTCCTGCCACGTTTTACTTGTGTGACAAACATGGTCATCTGCAACTGCAGCTTGCACTTTAATTTAATGTATAACTTATTCTTTAGCTACCCCAGATCGCCCTAACTAAGTCATATCACTGAGCAATTATATATAGATTGAACTCCAAAGTAATAGCGAACTTGCGGCTTTTTAAAATATAACTTTCGCGGAACATAAATAAGGCTTTAAGCTAACTAAACCTGAAATAACAGCTCCCGCAGAGTTTTTTAGATCTGGCCTTTTCCCTTAAAAACCATTTCTCATAGATTGGAGTAGTTTTTGTGAAAGTTGCAGATAGAGGGAATTGAATATAAAGCCTCGATATTTTAAATTTTTATATTTGTAAGTTATTGGAAAATTTTTTCTGTGTTGGCAACAACTTGTCTGCAGTAAAAAAAGCATATAATTTGTGTTTAAAACAATTGTGTGAACACCAATCAGTCAACTCACATGATCTCGGTTCCGATAATAAATAATCAATAATTGGTTATACCCGCATTTTGGCACTGACTTGAATTGGCCATCTAATAAATAGTGTTGTTCCCCTTAGGTGGTTTTAAATTATGTCACAAATTGCTGGCAGCGACGTAAATACAGTTTAAGAAAATTCCTTTTCTATAATTGTTTCCTTATAGAAAAGGTTTCTTTTCCACCTTAGACATTCCGAATTCGTTCAAAATATGGTTATTTAAAAACACAATTATTTCAGTGTTTCTCCGGGGTTTTTGGACATGGCGGCAATCCACTGTTTCTTCAATTTAATAGTGTTCGCTTTATTTTATAGGATTTGGCAATAACCTCTTTCATCTATGGAAATACCTGCGGGGTAATGTTTATTGTAACAACATTCATATCACACGTATGATGCAAGAGCAACATTTTTTTTCTTTGAATTAGAGCTGTCAAACTATCGACGATACTATCGATAGTATCAATAGTCTGGTCACTTGAAATAACTATCGATAGTTTTAGTACTATCGCCACTATCGTTTCATCGATAGCGTATTCTCTTTACTAGCGCTTTTGACATTTGCTCGTATTGGTTCAAAGAGA